GGTAACTTTTGAAGGTTAAATTCATCAATGCATTAGATTCGCGACTGTGAATGTCGAGGTTGATGATACGCAATATATTGATAAATACGCAACAAAGTTATTTTGGTGGGTTTCCAAACTTTCGTAGTTGATATGATGCTTGGTATGATTTCAATTAATTTATTGGGAGGAGTTTTCATTTCCTGATTAGGAACAGCAAAATTTGGGTCCAGCTATTGCGGACTAGCAGCTTTAAACAAAGTAAACGAAATTGAAATTAAAAAGAAACATCATGAAGCTGTTTTTGATGGTATGGAATGGAGAGTCAAATGGAAATGGAGAGACGAAGATGGACCCCATTAACTGTTTAACAAAGTGGCCCAGTACGCGGTACCAAAAATATGCTAAAACGGAATACGAAAACGAACTTCAGGATTGGATCAAGCAGAAATGGTTACTTGAGTATAACAAAAACGTAATGGGGCCGACAAAGGACAAATCCCTTTAATGGTTGTGATTCAAAGAAACAAAGATAATAAAGTCTGGCCTGTTTTGGATTGGAGAGAAGCTAACAGTTTCATCAAGACGTATGAAAGAGATGCAGATGTGTGTATTGATAAATTGAGAGAATGGAGAAGAATGGGAAACAAACCAGCAATTATGGATCTACGCAAGGCTCCAGCTAAAAACTAAAGAACACCTTTGGCTGTTCCAAACGGTGGTATTTCACAACAAGAGATATTGTTTAACACGACTTGGTTTTGGTTTGAATGTTGCAACGATGATCATGAAATCCGTTGTGAACGCCGAGTTGGTTAAGAAAGGAACGTCTGCCTACGTGGATGAAATATTTATCAATGAGAACGTGGTGAGTCTCGATCATGTCAAAAGGCATTTTGAAAAATATTTGTTTGGAGAGCAAAGAGGGGGAACAGATTGACGGTAATGGAGTCCGTGTGTTGGGATTATGTGTATGCAAAGCTGGTAACAAACTGACGTGGTCGAGAGAGAATCAAGTTGAAGAAATCCCTAAAAATTTAATCAGAAGAGTAGTGTTTTCAGTTTGCGGACAGTTGATGGGTCATGTACTTGTCTGTGGTTGGTTAGAAGTTTATGATGAGGTTGAAAGTTGCGAGCCAGCTTGTGAGGATTGGGCTGTGGATGGCAATGAGGGAAAGGTGTGGTTTGATGCAATTTCTTTAGCTATAGGTGCAATTAGTTTAAATTGATAAAACAATTGTGAAAGATGCAACAAAGCTGCGAAAAAAAAAGTTGGGCGTTCATATAAACATGGCAGAGTTAGACGCAGTGCTACGAGAAATAAGTATGGCCTTGACGTGGAAACTAAAATAATGACAATTTTTACAGACTCTGCAACAGTATTCCACTAGATTTCTGACACTTACTGGAAAATTAAGGTTGAAGTCAAAAGCCACATGTAAAATGGTAATTCGAAGTAGAAAAAGCGTAATGCGACAATTAATTAAAGAATACGACTTAAAAGTTGACGTAAATCATGTTTCATTTGAAGATAATTTAGCTGATTCATTAACAAGAGTTCGCAGCAGATAGTTAAATAAGTTGGCTGAAAATGAGCTTCTGAAAAATTGTATTGGAGTTGTAGTTACGGAGCCTGAATCCATCTTGAGTATACACAAGAAAGCTGGACATTTTGGAATGAGTAGAACGTTGAACTTTGTTTGTGAAGTACTTCCAAATGCAACTAAAAACAAAGTTGAAATGGTGTTAAAAAATTGCTAGCCGTGTCAGTCAATAGATCCAGCACCTGTACAAGGGACAAAAGGTTCCTTGAATGTTAAAGAAAATTGGGAAAGATTGGCCATGGATATTACGCATTATCGAATTAAAAATTTTCTGAGTCTAATTGATTGCGGACCTTCAAGATACGCATTGTGGCGACAACTGTCAAGTTCATACGGAAGTGTTGCCATAGTTCGAATTCTCCGTCTTAACTTTTGTGAGCGAGGAGCGCTATCCAAAATATTAACAGATAACGAGGCAACGTTTAAGACTAAAGAAATAAGAAGTTTCCTTGAAAGTTTAGTGCGTATCACGTTTTGGGCCGCTTATTACACTAAGGGGAACGGAATTGTTGAAAGAAACCATCGTACGATAAAAAGAATAGCAGAGCAATCTAAGATATCAATACCGGAAACAGTATATTATTACAATGTTGCTGTCGACAAAAAAGGCGTACGACCAATAGAGAAAATATATAGTTTTCAAATTGGTATCAAGAAATTAAGAAAAAGAAATTTTCTGGAAAAAAATAGCACAAACAAAATATATGGAGCAGGTGATAAAGTTTGGTTGAAACCACCCAATGCAAAGTGCTATACGAAGTGGAAGCCATCAACAATAACCAAAGAAGGGTCAGAAGAAGTTGTTGAAGTGAATTGGGTTCCGCGCCACGTGAGACATATTAGATCTCGATGTGAAGTTCATGGCTTGGCTTTAATGTCAGTGACTCTGCAGGTGTTAAGGCCAACAACTTTTGCCTTTTTACAATCTCTAACACAAATAGTCAACTTGCCAAATCAATAAACCAGAAAATCCGAATTACTTACCTTCTTTACACAACTTATGTCTTGTTTGTGACCCTAGTCAGGGCTCAGTTTCTCCACATTCACCCTTAGTGCTTCTGATCACGGGTTAATCTCTCAAAAACTATTATAGAATTTTTCTTCATTATCAGAATCCCGCTATCATAGTACCTCTTCCAACTACCTTAAAGCTGACTGAGACTCTTTCCATGATTTTCTTTTTGATGGCTCTTGGGTAGAAATCTTTTGTCTTCCTGCTAACAAATTTGTTTCCTATATAATTTCATGGATTCAGACTGGCATAGAATTTTTTATTCCCTCTTGACAATTTCAAGTCAAGCCTCACTCTTCTCCATAGTCTTACTTAAATTGTGCTGCTGCAATTTCCAATTGAAACCATAATGGTTTTGATTAGCAATGCTGATTCATATGGAAGTAATGGTTTAACTATTACTTCCATATCTATCAGCAAAACAATTTTCCAGAAAATAGACGTCTGTTTACAATTTTTAAAAACTATTGTAAAAAGGTTTTTTCTAACGTTAAAGCTATTCTCAGGTCATGAAATCTTGTATTTCTTCGCTAAATTAGGCTCTCGTGACTAATCTGTTATTCCACCTCTCTTGCATGGTTCAGAGTTTGTTACCTCACCTAAAGACAGAGCTGAATTGTTTGCTAAGAACTTTTTATCAATATCATCTCTTGATTCCACTATTTGTGTTCTACCTGATATAGCCAACAAACAGGTTGATCCATTTTTTGACATTCGTATTACTCCAACATTTGTATCTAAAATGATTTCCTGCTTAGAATCTTCTACAGTTAATGGTCCGTACAACATACTTGTTATAGTCTTGTAGAAGTGTTCTCCTGAGCTGTCGTCTATACTTTCAAAACTATTTAAAAATTTTTGGGCAGAGTCTTGTTTTCTAGCCTACTGGAAAGCGGCATCTGTTATCCCTATTTTCAAAAATTTTGGAGAGTGATGTTACTTGAACTACCTTCCAATTAGTCTTCTCGCTATCATAAGCAAGGTTTTTGTGTCTTTATTTCATAAGCACTTAATCTCTTATCTTGAATTTAATAACTTACTTTTTGATCATCAATATGGATTTTGATCTTCTCGTTCTACTGCTGATTTTTTAAGGGTAATAATTGATAGGTTGTGTCGTGTATTAGATAGATGCGGAGAAGCTAAGGCTATTGCTCTTGACATTGCTGAAACGTTTGAAAAAATTTTGTATGCTGGTCTTCTTAATAAGCTCTCTTCTAACTGTGTAACAGGTAAAAAATTTGAGACTATTGAATTTTTCTGTACCGTATTACAAAAGTTATCTTCGATGGACAACACTCTTCTTCATTTCCAGTAACTTTAGGGGTTCCTCAAGGTTCTATCCTTTGCCTTATACTTTTTTAAATTTACATTAACTATATCCCAGAAACTCTCACATTTAAGTTGGCATTGTTTGCTGTTGATACTACTATTTATTCTTATACTGATGAGAACCTAACACTCTCTGATTGCTTGGAGGAGGCATTCAAGCTTGAAAAAGATCTTACTTCTGCAACAAAATGGGGTTCTCGGTGGCTGGTGAACTTTAACTCAGATAAAACTCAGCTAATTATTATTGCAATAATCTAGATCTTCCATTATTTATGAATGGTAATGCAATCGATGAGTCATCTAACTTTTATCTTCGAGGATTAATTCTTACTTCTGATCTTTTTTTGAAACCATATATCAAATCCTTTGCAAAAATAGCATCTGCTAAGGTTGCATCTCTTTATCGTGCTGGCCACTTCCTCACTCAGAGTTCTATTCTTTATCTCTATAAATATCAAATCTGTTTTTGTATGGAATACTGTTGCTTTATCTGGGGAGGATCTTCTAATGATGCCGTTTATCTTTTAAACAAGGTACAAAAACGCATCGCAAACATAGTTGAACATGCTCTTGCAGCCAATTTTCAACCATTATCACATTGTTGTTATGTTGCTTCTCTTTCTCTTTGCTATAAATACTTTAATAGGCGCTGTTCTAAAGAGCTATCGTCTCTTGCGCCATCTACTTAAATTTATTCTCGTGTTACTCGTCATTCAATTAAGTTTCATCTTTTTTCTGTGACTATTCCTAAGAGTTCAAAAAACTTTTATTCGTTTAGTTTTTTTCTCGAACATTAGTTCTTTGGAATTCGCTTTCTTCATCTTGTTTTCCTGATTCACATAATTTGCAATCTTTTAAGTTATTTGTTAATCGTCATCTTGCACTCATCTTTTCTCTTCCAGTAACTTGCAACTCTAATAGTGGTTGCTTGCAGCTTTGTTAGGAGTAAAAATTTTAAATACAAAAAAAAAAAAAATTTTTTTTTCTTTGTTTAACTAAAATTTACGTTTTATTTAGTATTTCATGAATATTTTTTAAAGAATAATTTTTGCACAATTTTTATAAAATTATAGGGAAATACATTGATTGCATTGGTTTATGTGAAAGGGCCCAAAAATCCTAGCTGCGCAACTGACGAGTAAGGAACATTTTATCATTCAAATAAGCTATACTCTTATGCAAAGCTTATATTTATGTTGTCAATTCTTATACTGCTTTTTGATTTGGACGTTTTAATCAATGTATAACAATAATTTAATAAAATTCATCAAAAAATACTTGTTGTCTTTTGTTTGTTTCAAAGCTTGTAATATGGTCCATTTCTTTGGAATAGAATAGTTTTACCTTATTTTGATTTTCCTTTTAAATGGTCTTATTCTTTTTTTAAACTGAAAATAAAAGAAACTGTATTTTTAACACAATATATATATATATATATATATATATATATATATATATATATATATATATATATATATATATATATATATATATATATATATATATATATATATATATATATTTTAAGGACTTTAGTTGTTTAAATTTATACTTTATTTTGTTTATTATATAGATTGTGAAGAATATTTTTTTTATAGTGATATAGATTGTAAACGACTTTATGATTCATTTATCTTCTAGAAGTTCAATAGATTTAAAGTAAATTTACCTTGTATATATTACGGCAAATAAAAAAATTTACTCATATTTAGGGAAGACCGGGGCAAATTGACTATGTTAACAATTTTTGTTACCTACTAATTTGTTTTCAAGAATAGTAAAACTAATTTTACATGAATTTGTTAGAGTATCCTTTGAGATGTTAAATATATTATCATTTACTTATTAAAATAAAAATAAAATTTTTATTTTTATTTTTTTACAACCTTAACAAATTGTATATTGGGGCAAGATGACTTTGACCTAGGGGCAAAATGACAACACAGAAAATAGTTAAACATATTTTATCTTTTGAATATGTTACACGATTTAACAAATGATAACTGTCTCTTTATATCTTACAAATTATCAAACTAAGGTAATGCAATCTAAAGTAATTTTGAATTGTTTAGTTGTACCGCTAACAATACGCGAGGTTAGAATTATTATGTTTTATCTCCACAAATCAAAAAAATTGAGTTAGATAAATTTTTTTTTCTTTTTATGGATAAAATATTTATTTTTTACAAAAAAAACAGTAAAAAAAAAAATAAGTTAACTTAGTATACCTGATATTGCATTTTGTTCTATCTCCTGTTTATAAATTAAAATTATAATGCGCTATCTGCGTTTTATCCAATCAAAAATTATTTACGCCAAAATGGTAGCGGATGTTTTTATTACAGAAAAACAATAAAACTTTCAAGGTAAAATATTTTAATTGTTCACACACGCACACACATACATGCATATATATATATATATATATATATATATATATATATATATATATATATGCATATATATACACATATATATATATATACACATACATGCATATATATATATACACATACATATATATATATACACATACATGCATATATATACATACATATATATATATATACACATACATGCATATATATATATATATATATATATATATATATATATATATATATATATATATATATATATATATATATATATATATATATATATATATATATATATATATATATATATATATATATCGGTTTTTACATCCATTTAAAACAACCATGACATTCACGCGACAATCAATTAAAACAATCGTGATTTTCATTTAAAACATTTTACGCATGCGAAATCTCAACATTCTATATTATTTTTTAAAAAAAGGTCTTCTTTATATATTTATTTATCTAATATTATATAAATTTATTTTTAATAATATTATATTAATTTATTTTAATTTAATAGAATTTATTTTAAATTTGAATGGATGTCACGTTTGTTTTAAATGGATACAAAACCATATTTTTTTACATATTTTTATACACATACTGTATTGGCAAAACAACCATGATGTTCAATTAAAACATGCATGATGATAATTAAAACAATCATGATTTCCTATTAAAATATTTAGCGCATGAGGATATTAGATTTGCATTTAAACATGCAGCGAAATTCTGCAGCCGTATTCTCATCTCTCCGTTAAGCTTAACGGAGCGTTAGTAGAAAATTTCTTTTTAACTACATTAATAAAAAAAGTTCTTTAAAAATATAATTTTTTAAAAGTAAAAGAAATTCCGTTTCCCAAAACATGCGAGATCTTGTTGTAAATATAGTCGTTGATCAAGGAAAAACTCAATCTGAAGCTTCATCGTTAACAGGAGTTAATCCAAACACAATACAATCAATTTTAAGAAGGTACGATCAATTTTTTTCAACACTTCCTTGTTCTAGAGCGCCACCTCTAGAACCAGGAAGTGTTGAACAAATTCACTTCCTGGTTCTAGAGGTGGCGCTCGTCACGTTATTTATAATGAAGAGATTAGAATAAGAATTGAAGAGCTTATAAACGATAACACAACGACAATTATAATTGAAATTAAATATGCTTTAAATGTAAATGTATCAATTAAAACTGTCTGGAGATGGGTGACCAATCTTGGATACACACATAAAATTACTAGACCAATTTATGAAAGAAGAAACAACAATGATGTAAAAAATCTTCGTATTGAATATGTTAGGTCGTATACTTCAATCTCGCCTATTAATCGCTATCGAAATATTGTTTTTATTGATGAAAGTTCATTTAATTTACACATGTTTCGCAGTTCATGAGCATTCATGAGCAAGAAGAGGAGTAACACCAAACCCGATCATTCACCCTAGGCAACGTAACGTTTCGATGATATTGGCCGTCAATGGTTTAAATATTATTCACTGCGAAGCTGTCAGTGTGTCAGTCAACACAGTTTTGTTTTAAGAATATAATGATGAAGTTGTACGAGTTTTTGGGACAGAGGAAGAATTCACCCTGGTGATAGATAATGTCAGAATCCATCATAATGTTGCGATAAGGGCTCAGAACATTCAAACAAAATATTTGCCACCATATTCACCATTCTTGAATCCGTGTGAAGAGATTTTTTTTATCTTAAGAATAACGTGCGAAGAAATACGGCCCCAGCTGGAAGAAATGAACTAATTTCAAGAATGCGTGAGGCATGCTTATCTATTTCAAATGTTAACTTATCAAACTATTACACACACTGCGAAAGCTTTTTCGAAGCGTGTCTTAGGTCAGATGACATACCTCGACAGTAATTGGAAAGTAAACATATTTTAAATAAAATAAAATTTAAAATTTTTTTAAAAATCGAATAAAAGAAAACCTTTTTTTAAAAATAATATAGAATGTTGAGATTGCGCATGCTTTAAATGTTTTAAATGAAAATCACGATTGTTTTAATTGATTGTCGCGGTGTTTTAAATGAATGTCATGGTTTTAAATGATTCTCATGATTGTTTTAAATGGATGTAAAAACCGATATGTGAGAAAGCAGCTGATCAGCCGTATAAAAATAAAAAGGGAGAAAACGGTTTACGCATGTCTGTAACCAAAAAGAAAGACAGTTAAATTCTTGTAAATTTAAATGCACAAAAAAATTCAGTGATGAAAAATCAACAAGTTTATTTGTTGATTTTTGGTTTGTGATATGTTACCCAAAAATCAGAGTAATTTAACAAAAGTTTATGACAAGGGTCTTAAACTTTTGTCAAGTTGATAGAGCACTCGCTCCTGTTGAAGTATTTAGTCCCCTTGGTTAAATCAGAGAAATTCCTGCTTTTCAAAAAATAATTTTTTTTTCTGTCTACCAAATGAAGAAATTGGATTTCAAACATTTTTCAGCTATTGCAGGCTATTTTAATTTTAGGCTTGTTCCCTATATCCGGATAAAAAATCTAGCATTCAGATCATGTATGCTACAGAAAGTCATGTTCTAATGTTTGTTCAAAAGCATGAACTAACAATCTACAATCTTAGTAATGACAGTGGTACTTATGTTTTCTGCCTTGAATCAGGGTGCTCAAATTTAAAATGATAAAGGCAATGTCCTTCAAAGTATGTTCAAGTATATGCCTGCTATAAATATTGCATTTTACAAGAGTATTTTATAACAATTTATTTTAATAAATTAAATACTTACAAAAAACAATAAATTATTTATTGTTAAAATATATACGTTTTAAATGTTATGTTGTTAATGGGCTTCTTACTGAAATGTTATGTTTTTATTAGATCAACCAGAGGTACAGGTTAATTCTTTAAGATATCTTTTTTATTGTGCAATGTATTTTTGATGTTTGCTTTTAGTTTTTTTAGTATGCTTTTTTGGTATCCTTTTAGAATTTATAATTAAAGTTTTGAACATTTTGGTACATACTTTAGATATTACTTATTTTCTTTGCTGAATTGAATTTTAGACAAAATAAAGTGTTTATGCAATTTGTTCACTAGTGTAAAATAAGGTTTTTTTTTCTAATAAAACAGATATGTATCTTACATTACTTTAATTGCCAAAATATACAATCATCTTGCCACAATATATATATAAAATACTAGCTTTTATAATGTTTTTTGACAGAAAATGGAGATAGAACAAAATAATACTGTATTTTTTTTAAAAAGTGAGTATTACATTGTTCTCCAAATCAGGGTGTAGTAATTCAGAACCTGCGCTTAAAATATTTAAAAACAATTTTTTTGAAACTGCGGTAGCCAGTATAGGAAATCAGTAAAACAAATCGGTTTTGTTTGCGTTTTTTACGTTATTCGGCCTACAGGTCAATTTAAAACTTTGAACTTGATTTTCACGGTTCGGAAAAACATGGAGATAGAACAAAATAATTCTAATCTCGCGAATAGTCGACAATAAAAACACTGTTTTCATAATTAGAACATTCCTTATACCACTACTGTTAGTATTTACAGCACTGAATCCATTCTTCTATTGTAGGGTCACAATATTGACAATATTCACACAATATAGAAGATATTCATACGAGGGTCACAATAAATGACAAGCTCGCTATCTTGCCTCCATCATCTTGCCCCAGACTGCCTGTTTAAAAATATTCGTTTTCCTTGCCATAAAGGAAAACAATTAATAAACCTTTTTTTTGTTAATAGGCAGTACTTAATTTAATTACTTATAAATATTAAAGAGAAACGAAATAGTTTACCTATATCTGTAGCAGAGCTTATTTACACATGCATAAAAGTTATAACGTGGCAGCGGTAAACAATCAAAGCTTCATAACTAATACAAAAATAGCG